AGGTAACACTCATTTTACATACAGCACACAGAGAAAATGACATGAATATGACAGTGGGCAAATGCATAAAGCGCAGAATAATTTGAAATCACGAGTTTAAAGTTTAAAGCATTCAATTCACACGGGCCAACCATCACGCAGAGAACTGGATAAAAATGCACACTTCACAAGATCTCACAGCTGGATTCGACTAAGTTTGCAAGGTCTTTTAAATTAGATGTTCATTAGTCATTCAAAGATTTGTTTAAACGAGATAAATGCATATTTGCTGAATGCTGACGGCAAACGAGAAAGTATTATAATGTTTGCCTTTCTATTACTTTCCAAAGAGAAAGGAAAAATTGAAATCGCATCATATGACCCCTTTAAGTCCTTTGTTTAACAGTTATCTGACTTTAACTATCTGATTATTAGACAGACTTCTGTCCGTGGGACTGTTAAGGACGACAACGAACAAGAGGGAGAATGTGAGCACTGTGTGTTCAGGCGCTGCCGTTCTCAGCGCCGTCAAAATAAAAGTCCCGCCACGAATGCATCAGCCAAACCTTATCGGCCGATGCCGATATTTGAAAAATGCCAAATATCGGACGATATATCGGCCTTGGCGATATATCGGTCGACCACTAATTAAGAAGCACCATCGGTCATCATTTACTCACCCTCCACTTGATCTAAACCTGTATTATAAGTTTTTTCCTTCTGTTGAACACATAAGAGGGTATTTTAAGAATAACCAAACTGTTAACAATAGTTATTGACTTCCATTGTATGGAAAGAATACTGACTATATAACAAAACAAGATTGTAAAATAGAAAAGCAAAATGCATTTGAGCTTATTTCTGTGATGATGATAAAATGTTATATCCTGTCATGACTAGATGGCACAGAACAATGATGACGAGTGTTACGTTTGTCACTCTGAGGGACATCTTGTGTGTTGTGACGAGTGTCCACGAGCTTTTCATTCACACTGTCACCTACCAGCTGTACACGGAGACTCACCTGGGTGAGAGAGACAAACAGATAGAAAATCATTAAATCAGCAAGTGTGTGTGTCGTACATTGATTCTGTATATGTGTGTGTTTGCTTGTAGGGAATGGATTTGTACCTTTTGCGTGTTAAGAACCAGTCAACAATGGCGTGACTCCAGTAACATGTCTGAACAAGAGGCTTTCGGTGCCCCAGTGTCTCAGTACAGATTGGTAAACGCACACACACACACAGACTCAGCACCTTAATATAGAAGATAACCATAAACATTTAAGGTGTTCACATTTTGTAGCAGCCTTTGATGTCTTAAAGTGCTGTCTACGTAGGCTGCTCAGCAGGTTTAGAAACAGAACAATTATTTTTTGGCCTAATTGTGGATATGTGTGCTGTTTGTTATCTTTAGCACTGCCACTACCTCCTATTATGTGTATACAGAGAGGACATCCAGAAGGTGTTTGTTGAGGATCCACGGCAAACGGTGAGATTGTCTCTTTATTTCATCTCTCTGTCTTTTACATTTGCTACTCTTTTCATGCCTTAGTTTAATTTAAAATAGTTTATAAGTAGAATAAAAGTGATGAAAGATATTAAATGAAATTTAAAATAAATAAAAACAAAAATAAAATGGCTTCCAGGTGCCCAGATACTCTGAGTTCATATCTCAGCCGATGTGGCTGGACAGAATAAAGCAGAAGTTGGAAAGTGGAGAGTATCAGACGGTAGGAGCATTCGTCTCAGACTTCCAGCTCATTTTCAGCAACTGCAGCACGTTCAATAGGGTAAGATTCACTGAAACACGTTACATAAATAGATCACCAAAAAACAGATCAAGACCTTGTTAAAATTAAGTTGTTTTCCGATGCCTTATACGTGGACGCATATCTTTGGACATTATTGATGATTATTGTTGAGATGATTAACTTTTGGACGTGTGATTTTTTTTGACAGATTTTTTTGTATTTTGTTCTCTTGCTCTCTAAAGGACAATGTGTTTGGCCGAATGGGTCCCTGGCTGAAGAAAATGTTCGAGGAAGAGTTCCAGAAAATCTTCAGTATCTAATTCCAACTCTCTTTTACAAGTCTTTTAAAGCTACAATTGAGATCTGGATACCTTTGAATATTCATTAGAGCTCATTATAATGTATAAGATGTCCTTTCCAATGCTGCGAGGGTCCATGTACTTTTGCGTCCATTCGTTTTACATTTTTGAACCCAGAAATGAAAACATAAAATGCGGTTTCTTCTTTAATGGTTCAAACACTGATGAATAGAATAAGCAGGCACAAACTAATTTTCATTATTCAAAATTTGTATTTTATTAAAAATCTTAAATTATGGTTTCTATTTTCAACGTGTTTTTGTTTTTTTTTACCATTGATTAATGTAGCCAATCAGACATCATCTGTTTATTTCTTGAAAGCAATGGCCAAGCGTTTCAGTTAGAATCCACTCATCGCTCATAAGGCCACAGTTTTGTTCAGTGCTGCACTCTCGAGAATCTCTCATTATAACAAAGTGTAACATGATTATGGAAGAAAAATAATGACAAATGTCTTTGAAACAAAAAAGCATGTTGAACCAAAGCAATAGGTAGAGCAAGTCATTCATTCACAAAAACTGATAAGCAGAAATGGAGCAAGCAGTAAGTAGAACCTATGATTATCAGGGCCAGTATGTACATGTGGAAAAGCTGATTAAGACTCATGAGCTGTGTTTACATTTAATTCAACATATTCTCTGTTACTCCCCGTGTAGCCACATGTAAGCAGCTTTTTCTACCAAAGGAGATTATAATGCTATTTTACCCGACGCTAATTTTCAGAGCATGACATCTAAGACATATATTGTTTTATGATTGACATCAAAGACCTCTCCATCTTTGGGCTCATAAAAAGGATGATCTTTTCTCCTTCCCCTGTCTTTGCCCAAGTACTTGTCTTTCTGCGACCAATAACTGAGAGACAGAAAGAAAACATACTGGATGTCCATTTGCACCCGTGGAACGTTCCACTATCAGAGGTATCAATATTTTTTTATTTAAATGATAATATAATACTCATAAAATGTTTTTATAAAAATTGGTCTTGACATTTTGGCGGGTTTGCATTAACGCACACTCTGATCAATGTCAAAAGGAAATATTTAGGGAAATAAGTTATCTTGCTTAACGTTTCACAATGCTCATAATTTACCTGGGATTGACACTGTACATTCCTTAAACCCCAGGTTAACATTCTTATTTGCATGTTTGTGGTGTCAGTGTCATTGATTGGATGAAAACAGCACACAACCTGTTTACATCAAGGCTCTAGCATTCTAACATCCTCATATCGCATTCTGTACACTAAAAAATTAATTTGACATTTCAACTTTTTTTTTGTAGACATGACTGATTTTTTATAAATTGTCCAGACAACAAGAAAATGTAAGTTTATTGTCCCTCAACTAATCTGAAAGTTGAATGAACTAGTATGAATGTTGTTTCAACACAAAAAAAAAACAACTGAATCACACCAACAACAAAAAAATGTAAGATAACAAAAAAAAGTTTTTTTTAAGTTGACTCAACAAATAGTTTTTTTTGTTTGTTTGTTTTACAGTGAATTGACTTTTCAGCCTGTAAATGTAACAATTTAACTTTCTTCACTCCAATTCATATATTTTCCATCACCATTTGACATTTTTTTCCCCTCAAATGCTAAAACAACTGTTTATACGTGGTGTTTCTTTGACTGTCCAAAGCACGTGAATATGAGGCATGTGATTGGTTGATAAGCGTCTAGTCGTAACATTCTAACTCAATGTCATTTCACATTGTATAATTTTGACACCGCAATGCGAAAGCGGCACTAACCCTTCTCTGGAGCAGGGTTTCATAACCCTGTTTAAAAAGTGGTTTTAACCCAGTGTGAAACATTCCTTTAGCCAGGGTTAAGTGCAGTGTGAAAAGCCCTAAAGTGTAGAATTAAATAAGAGAGTCACTGCAGTGTAGTCAACTTCGATTGTGAGAATGTAGAACCAATTAGCTTGCGACGAAAAGACTTACAGCTTCATTTATTGTACAAGGAATATAATCAATTTTCAACTTGAATAAAGGCTTTAATTTTCATGTTGCTAAGAGGACCTGTGGCCACATACACACTACGAATTTTCGGAAGTGACAGCTGCATTTAAATGGCATTTAAAGACTGCCCATTGCATTTACCCAAAACTAATTATATTTCATGTTTAACCACTATAGATACGTCACAGCCAGCGGCAAATTCCATAAGAACTGGCCAAGGTCAGGCTGCTCTCGGCGGGTTCATGAGCGCTGAACGGCCGCTTAAAACTACATTCTGTGACGCAAAACAATATTATTTATAAAATTATAGTGGATTTGGGTGTCCGCCATGACACTCGCTGTGAGACAAACCGCAAGCGGAGTGATACAAATGGTGAAACGGTTGGGAGTTCTGTTATCACTAGTCTATAAAGTACCTGAAAGCAATACTCAAGTAAAAGTACAGATATCTTACCAGAAAATGACTTTGGTAGAAGTTGAAGTCACCGTTTAGAATATTACTTGAGTAAAAGTCTTAAAGCGTGTGATATTTATTATACTTTAGTACAAAAACTATTTTTTTAATCTTAAACGTACTTAAGTATTGACAGTAAAAGTACAAGTAAATGGAAAAGAAGCAAATAAATATATATTTTAAAAAATTAATACACAGCTTGAGTAGCAAGATTGTGTTCAGTTTTAACTCTTTCTTCCATTTTGTATTTTTGGTTAAAAATAAGAAGCACTTCATCCAGTATTTAGTGTCTGTCATTCCAACATAAGAAAACATTTCTGGAATCTGCATCTGAAATAGCATTTAGATGTATTTACACAGTTTATATATTGCATAGGGGACATGGATTTTTTTTTTTTTACATAAAACGTTAAATACTGATATTTTAAATAATTTAAAATATGAAAAAAATAGTCAAAATGATAAATTAAAACCGCCAGTAGGTGACAGCAAGTCACTGTTAATGGGTTAGTTCACCCAAACATGAAAATTAGCCCATAAATTACTCACCCTCAAGTCATCCTAGGTGTATATGACTTTCTTCTTTCAGACGAATCCAGTTTCCAGGCGGATGACATATGAGTTCAGCGTTATATATACATACTGGTAAAAAATATATAGCCTGAATGCACTGACTTTTATTCAAAAGTCACTTTGAATAAAAGCATCTGCTAAATGCATCAATTATTATTATTAATTATTATGATATTACAAATACCGACGAATGGGACGAGACCTGGTTGAGCTGCACTAGAGAAGGCAACGAGTGTTATCACTATGAAAATCAAAACGTTGTAAAAGAGCATAATAGGACCCCTTTAATATAGTACATCATGTAAACTGTTATTATAAAATGCACTGATTATAACACATGTGGTATATGAACTAAAAAAAAACAATATAAACTATATAAACCTGCATTACTACTTTTTTCTAAAAGCTTAATTTTAAAGGGGTCATATGATGCTGCTAAAAAGAACATTATTTTGTGTATTTGGTGTAATGAAATGTG